CAGGAAGAAAGGGGGCTACTGGGCCTCCCAGGTAAGGAGAGGGAGGTCCAGACCCTACTAGCCCAGCACCAGTCTTCTCCACTTTGATTCACTTTCCTCAAAACCAGCCAAACCCGTCAGCCCTGTTTTCTCTCCATCTCCACTGCTCTTGCCCTGGGATCTTGTGAAAGGATCTATTTGAGAGACATAGTTTACAAAACAGAAAACACAGAAACAAAATAACTTGCCCACAACAGTAAGTGGACAGTCTTGAATCACATTCAGGTCTGTCTGATGCAGACACTGCGCTCTGTCATCTATACCTCCCATGGCCTTCAGGTCTTCAACACAAACTGCACCAGGTCCTTTCCAGCCTCCCACGCCCACCATCTTCCCTTCTAATCCACCTTCCAAACTGAGGGACTCAAATCCACGTCTGGCTGACTCCAAACCTCAAGCTCTTGGCCAGCATACCTCCTGACCGCTACAGCCCCAGTCTGACCCCAGTGTGGTGGCAGCGACAGGGCTGGAGTCTGGAAGCGTCATGCCCTGGAGCCTCTGGGCTACCACGATCTGAGGGAAGGAAGATGCTCCCTGGCATCCAGGAATACCAGGTGCAGAGCTGGGCACTGCTGCAGCAAGGGAAACAGCCTGGCCTTACACACCGGGAAGTTACTCATGAAAACTACAGTGTGACACAGACTTTGACAAGGATCTACTTAAGGGAAGTCTGCAGATGAGTATGCGAGCAAGTGATTAAACAAAGCCCCATCAGACAGGCAAATGAAAACAAGATATTGTTGACGCATCAGATTGGCAACTATTAAAAAGATCATTATTACCCCTGTGGATGAGGATGGAAAGAAACACACACTCAACCAGCAGGACTGTGAATGTTCCCTCCCGTCTTCTTGGAGCAGTTTGGCTCTTGCAGTCTTTTAACAGGATGAGGCAGAGCCGTGGCACTTACATTTAAAGGTATCAAAGATACCACTGCAAAACAATACCAATGTTATGTTCTCATTTTTGAAAAAGAAAGGAATTAGTATATGTGTAGAGAAAGAAAAAAATGAAAGGAATATGAACCAACAATAGCAATAGGTGACTCTGGGAGGGGAACTACAGAGAATGCTTACTTTCTATGTTTGAATTTCGTATAATGAATATATTGCCTATGCAATCAGAAAAAACAAAAACTCAAATAAAAAAGACCTTTACGTCCCATCATGGGCGAACTGTTGTGCATTCATGAGTTCATCAGACTCAATATCCTGGCTCTAGGCACCAAAACCCCAGGAGATGGGGCCCAGCCCCCGCCTCTGAGGACACAGAGCTAGCAGGTACCACAGTAATGTGCAATCAGCCTTTCCTGTTCTTGACAGTTCAGCGGCTCTGGGAAAACCTGCACGTTCCAGAGGAGCAAATGAGTGGTGATGAGAACTAACTCTCAAGGACAGACGGACAAGGAATCTGAGTCCACACCTGCTGAGGGAGGGGACGTTCTGGTGAACTAACCTTGCTTTGGGTTGGGACCAAGTAGACGGTAAGCCAAAAATAAGAGAACCAGAAAGGCCCTCCCAGGAACTATAACGCAGCTGAGTCCTCTCAATCCCTGAATTAGACTAAAAAGACTCAGCTAGTCCTCAGATTTTTCAAGCAAAAAAATCTTACAAATACAATATCTGGTACACAATAAAAAATACCAGGCACTGAAAAGACAAGATATGAACAAAAAACCAGGAGGAGGAAGAAAGGGAAGGAGGAGGGTAGGAGGCTGACAGGAATTCCAGATATTGGCCTTTAAAATAATAGCTTCCTATGTTCAGAGAGATACAAGACTGAGAATTTTGGTAGATAACAAAAATTTTTTTAAATCATACAATAAAAAATTCCAGAACAGCCCAACCAGCATAGCTCAGTAGCTTGAGTGTTGACCTGTGAATCAGGAAGCCACAGTTCAATTCCCGGGCACATCCCCAGGTTGCAGGCTCAATCCCCAGTAAGGGGCGTGCAGGACCAATGATACTCTCTCATCACTGATGTTTCTCTCTCTCTCCCTCACTTCTCTAAGATCAATAAAAAAATATTTTTTTAAAATTCCAAAACAAAAAACACAGTAACTGAAATTAACAATGTAATGAATAATAGGTTTTACTAGATTTATAACAGATGAAGAGAGAATTAGTAAATTTCAGTTCAGTCAGATAAAAATATCCAGAATAAAGCAGAGAGAATAAAAGCATGGCAGATACAAAACACTAGGTAAGAGGCAGATGAAAGAGTGAGAAAGTATAATTGGAGTTTCAGAATGATTAGCAAAGAACAAATAAAAATTTGTTTATTTATTTTTTTAAATATATTTTATTGATTTTTTACAGAGAGGAAGGGAGAAAGATAGTTAGAAACATCGATGAGAAACATCGATCAGCTGCCTCCTGCACACTCCCCACTGGGGATATGCCGCAACCAAGGTACATGCCCTTGACCGGAATCGAACCTGGGACCTTTCAGTCCACAGGCCGACGCTCTATCCACTGAGCCAAACCGGTTTCGGCGAGAACAAATAAAAATTTAAAGAGATGTCTAAGAACTTACTAAAACTGATTCTGACATTGTGCCACAAATCTTAAGTCTTACAACCTGAGATTTAAAAAAATCAATAAGAGCATTTTTTTTAAAAAAAGAAAAGGAATAGATATCAAGTTGAAATATTTCCATTCCACTGAATACATTTAAGAGTACTTAATGGTTTTCTCTTAAAATGGCATTTTTTAAAATATGGCCGAAACCGGTTTGGCTCAGTGGATAGAGCGTCGGCCTGTGGACTGAAAATAAAATATATTTAAAAAAATAAAATAATAAAATATGATGGAAAGTAGATCCTTTGCAAATATTTAAACCTATGTCAACTTTTTAAAAAAAATTTTTTTAATTGATTTCAGAAAGGAAGAGGGAGAGAGAGAGAAACATGAATGATGAGAATCACTGAACGGCTGCCTCCTGCACACCGCCTACTGGGGATCCAGACCGAAACCTGGGCATGTGCTCTGACCAGGAATCGAACCGTGACCTCTTGGTTCATAAGTGGGTACTCAACCATTGAGCCACACCAGCCAGGCCCTATGTCAACTTTTTAAAAGTGAAGGGGGTTATATACTTTCAGACAGTACATCAGCAAAAACAGCATCAAGACCATGCTGCAGCCTCCACACCAGACCCCCTCCGGATGGCCCTGACCAGTCCCTCAGGCTTCCCCGAGTCCTGTGCTCCAGCCACCAGGCACATGGAGTTCTAGTCACCACTGGGCCACTCCTTCATCCGGGCCAGCGCACCCCAACACCCTAACAGGCACTGTGTCTTATCTCTGCTCAGAAGACAGCTGGTACTTAGTAGTGTTTGCTAATTTGCTGCCCCTCCCAAATGGAGTAAGTAAATGGGGACAAAAGAGAAAAGTCTGGAAAGCATCTCTCCAGCTCAGTAAAGGAAGAGTTGGCTCTTGGTAAACACTGGGCAGAAAATTCTAAGAGTTCCAAGCAGTTTCTTTCAGAAACTATAGGAAACATTCCAATCCTTTGGGAATATCTGAATGGGAAGGTGGAGAAAGGAAGACTGAAAATTCCATGAAGGCAAGTGCAGAATCCTGTCAGCCCAATGACATTGCCACACCACTGACAATGGCAACCACCAACCTACCTACAATCATAATTAAGTCACTTGACAGAACCCAATTTCCAACAGTTCCAGCACTATTTGTACCTTAAAACACACACACACACACACACACACACACACACACACACACGAAAAACACACGCACAAAAAAACCTTAATGTTATAGTGAACTCATTTCTATAGGAAACATAAGGCTACATTAACATTTTTAAAAATTATTTCACAGAATGTGACTCAGGGGAGTTATTGAAATACTGAGTGGATGGCACTCAGCTGAGACCTCACAGATGAGACGGAAGCAGGCATGCGAGCCCAGAGGCTGCGTCCCAGACAGAGGGAACAACAAGTGCCAAGGTCACGAGGCAAGAAGCAACCCAAGAGGCTACAACAAAATTAACAAAGTAAATTACTGGCAATGCCAGGCACCGGGGGCCAGAATGTGTACACTAATGCCTGTTTATCCCTTCTCAGGCGACCCCAGGCTCTAAGGATTGGACTGAAAGCTGAGGAAAGTAACCCAGATGCTCCTAGCAGTAAGGAGAGGAGAAGCTGGGGGAACAGCCAGAGGAGGCCACATGAAGGCAGTGCGGACGCCCAGAGCTCAATGGGGATGTCAACCAGGGAGAAAACAAGGACAATGACCGACACCTTAGGCAGAGGAAGGGCTGGGGTCAGACAGGCTGAGGCAGGAGCACAGCCTGAGCTGTGACCCAGCCCAAATAGTGGGACAGATGGAAGGAACGGGGTCTTTACTGGGCGTTTTGCTGTGTGTTCTGCACTGACTTTAACATACCTTATTGCATTTAATTCTCAAATTAAATAGGAGGGTTCAATTCGAACATGACAAGCTCCACTTAACTGAGTCTTAGCTTCTTGGTCAGTAAAATGGAAATAACATCACATACTTCACATGGGCTTTAAAGGAATGAAGTGAGCAGGGTGTAAAGCGTCAAGCACAGTTCCTGACAACACAGTAACTTCAACAACCATTACAGATTATTACTGCCGGTGTGACTACAGTGAGGAAGGGGGGAGGAGGGAGGGGCAAGCTTCAAACCAAACTGAGGTCTGAGCTGCAGCGGAGCTGGGAGTAGTGGCTTACTTAAGGCTCCGCCGGCCTCCGGGGAACCACTCACCTGGTGGTTCCAGATGGAGCCCTCTTTGCTGCGCTCATCAGGAGTCAGACGCACGTACTGGCTCGTGAGTATTGTGCTGCCTTGGAAGTCCCAGAGGGGCATGGAGCTGGAACCGACACCTGTGGGCAGTGATGGGCACACACAGGCGCGTAAAAGGCCATACCAGGACGGGCCTTGCCAGAGGCAGAAAATCCACAGAACTGCCCTGCTCGGAAGACAGGGCCACCCCTTTCCCACCCCCGTGCAGCCTCGCCCTCACCCTCTACTCATTTCCCGCCTCAGGCCTCACCTTGGTAGGGCTTGATAAGCGAATGCTCCCGCTTGAGGTGTTCACTGTTGCCGTCAGTTATATCCGCAGCCACCGGCCCCAGCAACAGAAGAAGAAGTAGAGGTGTCATGGGGCCAGGGCCGGGGCCGGGAAGCCCAGGCCTCCCCGGGCACCGCCGGCCCCAGCCCCAGCGCCAAATCCAACCTTCCGCCGCCATTCTCCGTTCCTCTCCGCCACTTCCGTTCGAGGACTTCCGCCTTCCGGGTGTCTCATCGAATAACTTCCGGCCGGAAACCTTCCAACTTAGTGTCACCAGAAGTTAAATGCAAAGCCTCGCAGGCTAGGGGACGGCGACCTTATTTGCTGTGCAGCCTCCATCCTGATCAAGTGCAGTTCCGCAGCCTTGGCCGCTCCGACGTACCTGTCGCCCAGCCTCGGCTACGGGTTCTTACGAGCCACAACCAATCATGGAACAGCACGTTAGGCTTGTGAGCAAATGGGGAGCAGAGGAATGGTTTAGTCGGGGGCAGAACCAGGGTCGTCCTCGAAGCGCGGCATGCTGGAACTTGTAGTTTTGGTGGGCCACTCGCGCGGGCTGGACAAACGAAGAATACAACGCCCTGAGCCTCTGGCCACTGACCGCGTCTCTGGAGTAATATTTCCCATTCCGGGGATAAAGGATCTCTAATTTGAAGGCAGAGGCCTAAATTCCAACTGCCGTGCCTCTTCGGACTCCCTGAGTGACCTCGGATGAGCCTTAGCTGGCTCTGGCTTCACCTGCTCCAGCTTCACGCCTTTGAAGACTTAGAATTCCCAGTGACTTGAAGACATCCACTACTCCCAGTTCCTCAGGCCCATTGGGTTTAACAGGATGGCAGACCTGTACCCTGCCCCGAGACCCCAGTGATGGCTGGGACGCATACAGATCCAAGTGGTCCTAGTGCCTGCCTGCTACAGCAAGAAATGTCCATGAGCCCCAGCTGCTTTGGCTCAGTTAATAGAGAGCTTCAGCCTGCGGACTAAAGGGTCCCGGGTTTGATTCCCCGGTCAAGGGCACATGCCCGGGC